GGAGTGAAGTGGTCGACGAGGCGCGTAGCAGCACAAATAAACTGTACCAAATTTGTGGTGTGGAGTGATGGTGTGGAGTGATGGTGCGGAGTGATGGTGCGGAGTGATGGTGAAGAGTGATTGTGTGAAGTGATGGTGTGGAGTGATGGTGAGGAGTGATGGTGTGAAGTGATGGTGTGGAGTGATGGTGTGGAGTGATGGTGTGAAGTGATGGTGTGTATGGTGTGGAGTGATGGTGTGGAGTGATGGTGTGGAATGATGGTGTAGAGTGATAGTGTGGAGTGATGGTGTGGAGTGATGGTGTGGAGTGATAGTGAGGAGTGATGGTGTGGAGTGTCAAATAATATAATCAATACAAGAGGCTGTTAAAATCTACTAAATTACGTTAATTACCTACGATGAATTACTAAATTACGTTAACATTTAACGTTTCATTATCAATTATCAGGCAAGCACCAGAGCGACATGGCATCCGTACAGCACTTCTGTGAGTGTGGTTTATGCTTTTGTTTAGAGGAAAATCAATTAGTGGCGGAGTGAATTGGAAGTAATGATTTGAGTTACGTATATATTTTATATTTTTTGAGTATTGTTATCCATATAAACAATTTATGATACGACTCATGATGGTCCGTTCATTGGTAATTAAGAAAAAGTTATTCATATAAACATAACATAACATTAACATAACATAGTGATGTCGGCGCTAAAGAGTAGGCCTGATGTGGCCTGTCGCCGAATCTTGAACTTTTCGTGACTTGTTCACATAAGATCTAAAATCTTGTCATTTGACCGGATATTTTCAAGACTGACGATAGTTTGAAATAGCTACTAGATTTCCACCGGGTTCGATATGGTGCTATATAGGCATTTAAAATCTGAACATATATTTTGCCAGAGCTTTATCTAGTCTGTTCTTGAACGCGTTCATACTTGGAGCGCCAACGATGTCATTGGGGAGGCTGTTTCACATGTCGGTGATTCGAAGCGAGAAGAAATGTTGTCGCGTGGACAAGTTGCAGCGCATTTTTTTTTATAGCCGTGGCCCCTGGTGTTGGTCCTTGTTTCAAATTCTAGTAATCCTTCGGGGACCTTGTGTAAACCATGAGTATATTTGTATACTTCAATGAGGTCCCCACGCAGACGTCGATAACTGTGTCTTGGAAGCTTCATAATCTTTAAACTTTCTTCATAGGACTTGCCCTTCAAGCCTGGAATTATCCTTGTTGCACGTCTTTGAACATTCTCTATTAGCTGAATATGTTCATCTATTGGTAGAATCTCTATTATCAGAATATATAGCAGAATAAGAAATTCTATGTTAATATCATTAACAGGATAGGTTTGAAGCGCTTGAACAAGGAGGAAGCGCTGTCTACTAAAACGTTCATGAATGGAATAGAGTTCAGGGTAATATTAATACGATAAGGGTAATAGGTACTAATTTCAGGGTTACGAAATAGACAAAAAATACCTTATTCAGCGTTCACTGTGAAGCGATCTGTTAATTACACTGATAAAAACTTTTCAATAAAATATTATCAGGAATAATTATAAGCAATAGTAAAAATAAAGTACCAAGTATTCCAGAAACGACTTTGGCGCACAAAATTTCATTGTTAGAACATTTTTCATCTGTTTTCGAAATTAAAAAAGAGAATTATTGCATCGGCTGCTCAATCTTGAAGGCCGGTCCACACGATCAGTTTACCAACGATTTGTCTGCGCAGTTCTAATTGTTGCAGCTAAAACGTTGCGTGTGGATTGCAGTAAGCAGCCACTCGATCACGCTTCACAAGAGTCAAATTTTTTTTTGCATTGGTAGAGTTATGCTCTAAGATCAAATTCGTTTCAAGCTTTCATATTATCAACTGCACTCTAAATTATTGGATTGATAATTGAAATAATGGCGGAATATACGATAGTAATGGGAAATCAAATAAGTTGCTCACAAATGGGATCCCGTTTAAACACGTTCACCCTGCCTCCTTGTACGCGATATTTCACACCGATAAGACAGCTAGGGCAGCGAGAACGATCTTGTACCGCACTGGACTAGTCTGCAGAGGCTCCCAAAAATTACGAACGTCTTATGCAATCTTCAATAGTTAAGCTGTCGGCCGTAGGGATGCTTGAAAATTCCAACTAAAAGCATACTTATCTGCAAGAGCTACTTCTATAGCCGCTCAAGCAGACATGTGCTCAAAGCTGAACAATTCTATTGTTGGAACCATCATTAATTCGTAGGCTTGACGAACAGTAATCTCCAGACGATTCGAAATCAAGGAAACTCTTCCACAAACACTCAAACTATTAATTTTCATCCTGTTCAAAGTCTACGCGTGCAATAGTCTTTACAATCTAATTGTTTAAAGCTCTCTGAAGGAGACAAAACTATTCAACTTTTTTGATACGAATTGATCACTCTTGTCTACGCCCTGCTTCACGAGTAGTTTCAACTGTTTGTTATTGACGGCAGCACTGACGGCTTACGGGCGGCTAGGGCTATCGCTCTGCCTGGATGGGGGTGCGGGAGGTTGACCCCACATGCCCCTGCATGCATTGCAACTTGTAAGCTGAACGACTGAAAGCTCTTTCTGATGTGCACTTGAATCAAGGAAGCATTTAAACCTTTCCAGTTAGGGCTTGAGCGTTATTGCATGTGCAATTATTATTGAATAGATAATGGTTTAAGTTTTGGACTTTTGGAGCACATGCGGCGCACAGCCGCACACATGTGTGAGCGCACGTAATGCAAGTTCATCTTTGATTCTTAGACTCAACGGATTGATTCGATTCTTCAGTTATCATCTCCTGCAACATTAGTTCTGGTGTTATTTCTTCCGGCGCATTAAGCAACCTTTAGGAATCTGTGCAAAAATTTCCTGTGGTCAATAGATTGAGTGAAAGAGAGTTGATTTGCGTTATTCTTCTGGTTTATTCATCATATTCATGGAGTAGAAATAGTTACGGATTTCTTAATTTACTCGATTACCTGAAACAATTTATTCATTATACATTCGATGCTGTGACTTATGGGCCCAGAAGTGGGTATGTTATGCAGAAATGTCAGGTTAAAAATAGGCGTCTAAAACAGTAGGTGCTTAGGTTTCTTCATCATAGGCTTAGGTTTCTTCAACCTTGCTATATGTCAAGTTAGAGTCGACTCTCCCTTCGTTACGTCGTATCACATAGCGAACGCACGCGTGTACATTCGTCGACGCCATTTAATAGAAACGGGAGATGGTCATATGGTTCGCGCATTTACCCTGTTCAGTCTCTGACCAGCACATCATGCGGTAGCCTCATCAGCGTTTTACCAGGGGCATCATGAGGAAGCTTGACCAGCTACTATTTTTTGTCATGTTACGCAGATTCGGCCCACTGGGCAATTGAATTCCAAAAATGCGGCAAAATAGAAGCCAAACACCGTACGCCGTACGGGGCCGATCTGCGCCTGAATCACCTCTAAAGGCCCGTTTACACTAGTGGCAACGACATGCGCTTTGAGTCGTTTGCTGCGGTGCCTCACCGCGCACAACCGTTCACACTACTTTTGTACTCGGTTGTTTGAGACCGCGCGCTTTGAAGTTTTTGAACACCAGTTGCCAACTAGACGTCAATGAGGATGGATGGAACCGAATTTCAGCTGTGGGCCATTGTTCTCGGGTGTGCTGCGGTCCGTCATTCTTCGCACTATGTCAGTTGTAAACGAGAATTTAGCATAGGCATCATAATTAAAGAACTAGCACACTCAATCGCTAAACGGTAATGCATAAATTGTCAGGAGTTGCTACAATCACATGAACTAAACACGTCATGTAAAAGTAAGTTACATCATTTGCATTTCGATTTTTGTACTCCTTTGACCGAACACTCCATTGGCATTCGTGTTCTCTATAAAGATCAATTAGGCGCTCTACTAGAGAGTGACTCCAAACGAGAGTGGTGTTAGTCAGCATTTGGTGTGCCGGACCAGCGTACACAATCAACCTTACTATACCACAGACAGCTATTTACTAACTAAGAATTTAAAAGCAAAGAATAGTCCACAAAAATTCATATCTTTATGGAAAACGTTTCGGAGACCAGCTCCATCGTCAGTTCGTAGAATCGCAAATTAGAAGTCACAAATTAATACATTGAAACCATAGAACGAATTGAATTTCTTTAATTAATTAATTTAGATTTTTAATTTGATTTAAATATTTAATTTAATTTAAATTCTTAGTTAATTTGCGATTTAAGCATACAAGTGATATCAATTCTTTAATAGCTATCTACTAAGCGCCGCGCTTGTGTTGCATGAGGCATGGCCCCTGTCAATCGCTAGCTCAGGTGGTGGTCAAGGCCGGAAGAGGACAAAGCCGAGTGGTGCACGGCTGATTGGTGTAGGTCCGGAGATCCAAGGCGTTCGATTCAGGGCTTATTGGTGCACAAAATTGGTGATGCACGGCTGCGCTCCTCCTATATGCCACTGAGGCGACCTTGATTGGAACAAAAACTTGAACAGGGAAGTTCTCAAAATGGCAACATTTTAACACACACACACACTAAAGGTACATACTAAACTGCGGATCAAATTTTATGTGATTGATTTATCGAATACTTTTCTCATGTGTAAATTCCACCGAAATATTTAGAAAATCTATCAGACGTATATTTACTTGCCGTTGATATAAACGGCAAAATGAATTTTGCATCAATTAAAAGTAAAGCAAAGTTTATTCATCGTTATTTTCAAACACAAATAATAGTTTGAAATTACTATCACTTGAACAGATGAAGATATGAGGACTATGTTTAGAGTTTTAATGCTCGTATCACTTGTAAAAATCTGTCTGGGCTGGACTGTAGTTTTAATGTTCTCAATAAACTATACAACCTGTCCTGGCTCGACTACAGTTTTAGCGCTCTCATTGAATTTTATAAGCTGTCCTGGCTTAACTATAGTTTTAATGCTCTCAATAAATAATATAACCTCTCCTGGCTAGGTCGACGTCTGTCCCGTAAATGGAAGTTCCGAGCGATGATCGCGGCGGCCGCAGCCGTATTATCCCTGCTGGGGCTGGCTGGCGTTCATCGACAAGCAGGTAAACTGGAACGCGAGCGCTAGAGAGCTGGGACGCGAGTGCTGGTAAACAGGGAAGTGAGTGCTGGTAAACTGGGACTCGAGTGCTGGTAAAGTGGAACGTGAGTGCTGGTAAACTGGAACGCGAGTGCTGGAGAACTGGGACGCGAGTGCTGGTAAACTGGGATACGCGAATGCTGGTAAACTGGGACGCGGGTGCTGGTAAACTGGAACGCGGGTGCTGGTAAACTTGAACGCGAGTGCTGGTAAACTGGGACGCGGGTGCTGGTAAACTGGAATGCGGGTGCTGGTAAACTTGAACGCGAGTGCTGGTAAACTTGGACGCGAGTCTCGTAAACTGGGACGCATGTGCTGGTAAACTGGAAAGTGAGTGATGGTAAACTGGTACGCTTAATTAATGAAAATAGTTAATTATACCAGAAACGGAAGGAAGGAGTTTAAACTGCAAAATGATGAGAAAAAGTTTTGCAATTTAAGGAATAAAAATTGCTGTTTCAGCATTACAGGGAAGCTAATAGTCTACATAAAAACTGAGATACAAAATGATAACTAGGAATGATGATACAAGTTGGAGAACAGTTCAGAGCAATTTGTGTTCGTCCTAACTGGTCAATACAGACGGTAACCTGCTTACGCGTATGCAGGTGTAGGGGAGCGTGATCAGGTGTAATGGCTGCCAAGTTGAGACAAATATTAAAGCAGTTTTATTTACTCAGCCTGTTGTATTAACCAAATTATAACCGAGTGTACCCCGCAGTTGGTTATAGCGCCCTGCACAGCAAGCCTTCGTCTGCAGTCGCCGGAGGTAGTGGAAGAAATGCCATCACTGAAAAAATTCATACGACGTGCGTTGCGAAATTCAGTGAAGACGGCACGGTGAAACTGCCTGAGTTGTACATGTGAGTCAAAATTAAAGAATTATTAAGCCTATATTCTAGCTCGGAGGCTTGTGACACTAGGAAAATATATATTACAGGCTAGGCTAGGAATTATAAAATAAAGGTTGTAAAAAGGCGAAGAGACATTGAAAACTGTAAGTGCTTTTTAAAGAACTGAATACCAGTAATTGGAGAAATTCCTCATTAACTAAGTTTGAATTAGATGCATTTACCGTAACTAAATGTACGGTAATACGAGAAGAATCACGAGTGAATGCTACCAGAGCCTTTAAAATGCAAATAAATAAGGAGACCGTCTTCCGAAATTTTACGATACTGACGAGTTACGGAGACGAAGTAACGTCTAAATTAATAAGTCAATAACGTACTAACTTGTGACCACACGTGCCACCAGAGACGTGGTGCCAGACGTCGCGGCGTCCAACGTCTACTTGATGGAGACGTCGTCTGCAGCAGCCCTGCCCCCCAGGGGGCTATGTGGGGTAGAGAGGTGATGACAGTGATGAGTGGTGGCTAGTGAATTATGCTTATGATAAGGCATGTATGGTGATGAAGCACGGTTGAAGGCGATGAAACACATGTGATGGTACGAAGCGCATTCTCAATGCTTGAGATTATCTGATGAAGTAGATTTGTGGAAGATGCGCTCGTGCTGGTGATGAAGCACTCATGTTTGTGATGAGCGAGTGTGATGGTGAGCGGGGTGTGATAGTGACTAAGCAGGTATGTTGGTGATGAAGCATTTTTCTGAAAATTTGGATGTGGGCCGGCTGCTCTTCCTCAACAAAAAACGCATAACCTCCTGGCTCGTGATAGGAAATGCCGCATTCGGTTTAGTTATTCCGAATTTTGCGGTCCGAATGAATCAGCGTCTTGATAGAATCTTCTTTCTGACTATTAGCGACCTAATATTGTCCTGAGAGTGTGAAAACGGTAGTCTTGGTCAAGTCAGGTGAAAAAAAGCTTATCGTGTCTGAGATCTGCATTTCACTGGACAGGAAGTTTTGAACAACTGTCTGTCCCCGCCTATAAAAATTGTTATTAATGTCAGCCGCTGGCTCATGGATGCCCCAAGCTCGCCTAGCGGTGTAAATTAGCGGCGCTATGTCTGCTTTTGGTTCTGGTTGTACGAAGGAAATAAGCACCTGATTACGATCCGGTATATTCCTTGACAACCGTGAGGCGACTGCGGATCGCGTGTTCTTGGTACCGGATACGTTCGTGACAGACCCGGCCGAATCTGAAAAATGCGTTATAAAATGCCCCTCTCATCCCCCCTTTATGGGGGAAAGGAAGGAATATTTGAATTACTGTACGCTATATACATATATATGAGCAGACTAGACATATATCATCGCGCGCGACACAATGAAGCAAGTGGCAAGTAAACACGGTTTTGAAACGGGAATATTATCAGTTAATGCAACTTCCAACTCCAACTTTCCACATTACCCACAACATTCTCTTATATATTCACCTGCAATCAGCATTCTCACACATTGCCAAAACCAAACATTCTTCAATATACAATATCACTCAACTATCAACATACTCCAATAATCAACACCGCTCAATATTATCCCACATCATCCATGTACAAAACATTCTACCCATTTACCCGTACCAAACACTCCTACCTATTGCGCTGGTAGCGGTACCAAACATTTTCTACGTACGACTGAGCAAAACAGTATCTCTCCTTTACCAGTATTGAACCTTCTCTCATATTCGCCAACACCAAATACTCACATATACTGTTAAGCATTCTCCCGCAATAATCAGTTGAAGCAGTCCTCAAAATTCTCACAAAATATTAGCAAACAACAGCCTATTGTATCTACAGAGCTTAATTCAAACCATTCCAACATAGCGCAGATTCAATATAGTAACTAATTCATGTTTCCAGATATGAAGTACCTGAAACATAATGAAGTTATTCGCGGTAAAACAATTTTTTCAAATTCTGTGTACCTACCTAAAACTCTCGGCATATACAAGCGCAAAACTTCCTCTCACATTAACCAGTATCAAACATTCTCTCATTAGTATCATTTTCACCAGTACTAGCAGAGGTGGCAGTAGCGCGCTACATATAGCGGCCGCTTCATTTTCAGTAGCGGTAGCGGCGCTACATTTAAGCAATTGTAGCGGTAGCGCCTTCATCAGAGCTGGGCAGCGCTACTTGGAAATGTAGCGGCGCTACCGCTACCGCTACATGCTCTAAATGTAGCGGGCGCTACCGCTACCGCTACACCCACTAGATTGTAACGGGCGCTACCGCTACCGCTACAGTAAAATGTAGCGCGCTACAATAGCCGCTACAATGGCCAAAATTATTGAAAATCTCTAAATATATATTGTTCTGCTATTGGGATTTACTCATTAACATTTAATGATAATAAAACATTTTTAAAACATATCAATGCAACTTTATTGCAATTAACCTAACCGAACTATTATGGGTTACCCCAGGGTTAGATAAAGTAAAAAAAATTTAGTTATTTTTATGTTTTACCTTCCCTACATGGATGTGAACTTTAATCTACCAATCTAAGAAATTATCCACATATACATATAAAAATCAGTCTTTTTTTGTATATATATGTGGATTATTTTTGAGATTAGTAGATTAAAGTAGACATCCATGTAGGGAAGGTGAAACATAAAAACAACTGTGTAAAAATAACTGTAAGCAAACTGAAAGATGAAAAAAACCTGTAAGTGGTAACTGGTAACAACTTAACAAGTAACAACTAACATGTTGACACTAGTAACAGGCTGAGGTTGACAACATTACACCGAAATCTTTCGTATCAATACCTAGCGACTCTAGAAGCCTTTTTTTTAATATGTGCATGGTTTGACTTATATATGGGAGGAGGAGGAAGGTGGGGGGGGGGAGGTAAAAATGTGAAAAAAATGAGAAGAACGCGAAAAAAACGATGAGGAAAATCCAAATTCGGGGCTCTACAGTCGCTAGATATTGTTGTTACAAATCGAATGATATGTATCTCGACATTGTAGCATGTGATTTGCAAAAGTTATATTTTTTTAGAGTACCCCTTATTTGCCGTTTTCTACTAATTCCACGTTTTCTTTCATTTTTTTTAATTTACATCAACAAAAAGGTCTTAGATTTCTGTTTTACATATGTGTACCAAGTTTCAAAACGATCCGTCTGTAAACCAAAAAGTTTTGTAGGAGGGTAGCCGGTCCCCTTAAGTAAAATCTAAAGGCTTTATCTATAAATGTAGCGGTAGCGCTGTAGCGGCAAAACCTCGTATCGCTACTTAAATATGTAGCGGGCGCTACCGCTACCGCTACATTGCCTTAAATGTAGAGCCGCTACCGCTACCGCTACTGAAAATGTAGCGGCCGCTAGTAGCGGCCGCTACATGTAGCGCGCTACTGCCCACCTCTGCGCCTTCTACAAATTTAAGTAGCGATACGAGGTTTTGCCGCTACAGCGCTACCGCTACATTTATAGATAAAGCCTTTAGATTTTACTTAATAGTATTAAATATTATTTAAAAACCAGCATGATACATAAATATTATAAATTACAGAAAAAAACTGTACGAAAGATTTCGGTGTAATGTTGTCAACCTCAGTCTGTTACTAGTGTCAACATGTTAGTTGTTACCAGAGGTGGGCAGTAGCACGCTACATGAAGCGGCCGATACATTTTCAGTAGCGGTAGCGGTAACGGCGCTACATTTAAGCAATTGTAGCCTCTGCGCCTTCTACAAATTTAAGTAGCGATACGAGGTTTTGCCGCTACAGCGCTACCGCTACATTTATAGATAAAGCCTTTAGATTTTACTTAATAGTATTAAATATTATTTAAAAACCAGCATGATACATAAATATTATAAATTACAGAAAAAAACTGTACGAAAGATTTCGGTGTAATGTTGTCAACCTCAGTCTGTTACTAGTGTCAACATGTTAGTTGTTACCAGAGGTGGGCAGTAGCACGCTACATGAAGCGGCCGATACATTTTCAGTAGCGGTAGCGGTAACGGCGCTACATTTAAGCAATTGTAGCGGTAGCGACCGCTACATTTGGAGCATGTAGCAGTAGCGGTAGCAACCGCAACATTTCAAAGTAGCGCTTCCCAGCTCTGAGTACCAGTTATCGGACATTCATCACTACCAAACATTCTCCGGCCAGTCAAGTCCAAAAAAATTCTTCCAATTTACCAGTCAGTACCATTCTCCCACTTACAATAAGCTCCAAACATTTCATCACCTTTTAACCAGTACCAAGCATTTTCGCGCAATAATCAGTCTTCAACCCCAATGTTTTCCTACAACATTCACAAGCAACAGTCAAGTGTATCTACAAGACTCAATTGCAAATGCAAAATTCAATTTTAATGCAATTCATAACAATAGTTCGATTTCAGTTTGAATAGAGTTCACAATAACGAAACCGTGCAACTTAGTTACTTACAAATGTGCTTATTATAACCTCGAGTATACGAACATGAGCAGGTGAAATATCATACTCGTGTCAATGTACCCCAAGTTAAAAATTTCAGCTAAAAAAATGCCAGCAAATATCTTGAAGCTGGGCGGTGTATTATTGAATGTCGTCATTCCCGCATTCCCGGTATTCCCGGTTTGCTCCTCAGAAAAAAGCAAAATCTCCTGAAGGTTCTAAACGCATCGGCTTCGGGTGAAAATGCTTCCATCAATATCACTCCAACTGTGGATCTTACTAGCGATGAAGACGATCTGAGGGATTTGGTGATCAAAATTTCGGAGGGAGCGAGCGTGCAGGATGTTAAGCCGCATCTGCTTGACCAGATCGAAGCAGTGTTGTGCCTAATGCAAACAGTGACATTCCACAAGTGTTTCAAAATGCATTAAAACCATCAAGTGGTAGGAGACTCTTCGATGCCAAAAATCTTTTTAACGATGAGTGTAAAATGGGGCTGCATAATACAAACATGTGTTCATTTTACAATTTAATTTTGTAAGAGGTCCGACGAGGGCTTTACGCAACTTTTGAATTTGAATATAGTATGTGCAAATTAAAAATGTGCGTCTTAACTGAAGAAGAAAGTCTTGAGGGTGGAGTGCATTCATCAAATTATTCGGCAGTTTCAGGAGCCTTAACAATAGGCATCGGAAGATCGCAAGATTCAGAATTTCTGGGATCATTCAGCGTTCCTTTCGTCACTCAAAACACAAATCATAAAGTCGACCAACGCGTCAGTGACAAATGGATCGAAACAGCTTTCAAAAGTATGAAAGTCGCGGTTCAAGAAGAAAAAAATTTGCCCATTCGTGAAAATAGAGTTGATTCCAATGGTATTCCTAAGATATTAGTTACTGCTGATGGTGCCTGGTCAAAGCGATCATATGGGCATAATTACTCAGCTCCCTCGGGACTTGCAGCAATAGTTGGCTATCGCTCAGGTAAAATTCTATTCATGAGCGTACGCAATCTATTTTGCGCAGTCTGCGCGTATGCTCAGCGTTAAAAAAAAAGCTCTCAGAGACCATGGCTGCAGTCTAAATTGGCATGGCAGCCCGTCATCGATGGAAACAGACATCCTCGCGGAAAGATTTTCTACGAGTCTAGAAACACATGGCTTGAAGTACAGCTACTTTGTTGGTGACGGGGATAATAGTATGTATCCTAAACTGCTCAAAATCATGCCTTACGCTCCATAAGAGGTTAAAAAAATTGAATGCCGTAATCGCATCTTGAGGAATTACCAGAAACATTTAAGAGAAAATGTCTACAACGCTAAGGAGCAGCGAGACTTGGTTCTGTGGAACAAAGGAAACTGGTGCAGTTTCAGGCTCAACGCTTGATAAATGACATAAATGGCGCTATAAGACACCATAAAAATTCGAATGATATTTCAGAAAAGGGAAAAATTGAGGGGTTGTAAAATGACATTTTGAACAGCGCCAGGCAAGCCTGTGGTGATCATACGGTGTTTTAAACAACCGGAAATTATTTCTGCAAAAAGCAAGGTGACCAAAATTACGTACCTGATCTAGAAAAAACAGGAGTTTTCAAGCTATAATGAAGATTCTAAACAGAGTGAAGGACCAAGCAGATATTCCTATCCATGACGTTAGTAGCAACAAAGTAGAAAATTTCTTCAGTCAAGTTGCAAGGTTAATTAACTGGTGGAAAAAGAATGAACTTCACTTTAAAAAACGGCTTCAAAAGCAGATGCAACGGTGCGGTAATAGCACACCATACTGGAGGCGTGCATTCACCAATCCACGAAAAACTTCCTCGAAAATTGCCTAACATGGTGATGATGAAAATTGAAGCTCATTTGGCTCGTAAGAAGGCCAATGCCAAAAGGCAACTCTTCAACGGAAGTGCTCTAAAGCTGAAATGGCGACAAAGTCGCCATTTCAGAAGGAATTTTCATTCAGTAGCTACCGTGTCAGATGAAGCTAAAAGGAATTTTATTCACACTTTGTCTCTGGATGAAAATCAAATTCAGACCCTCGAGTATTCAACAATTGAACAAAGTAATTGTTCATCGTGGCATAATGAACGTAGAAAAGGACTGACCGCTTCTAACTCCGGTACTGTGTGCAAATTGAGAAAATCCACAACTAAGCAGTTGGTTGTTTACAGAATAATGAATGGCTTGGGTGGCTCGCTACCTGCCTTAGCGTGGGTTCGAGAGAGGGAAACTTCAGCGATAGAAGGCTTGAAAAATAAAATGGGCATCTCAGTGAACAGATGCGGCTTTTTCATAGACAAGTGTAGGAGCATCCCCCAGACGCTTTCGTGGATCATGACCATGTTATTGAAATCAAGTGTCCAAGATCTGCACATTATTTCAAGACAATAAAAGATGCTGTGATTGCTTAAAAAATGCAATCACTTGAAAGTCGTTGACGATCAAATAATACTGAACAGAAGGCTTTCTTACTTCTTCCAAGTTCAAGGTCAGATGAGAGTTACCGGACGAAGTAAATGTTACTTCGTAACCTGGATACCGAAAGATATACATATTATTAATGTTGATTTTGAACCGATGTTTTGGCTCAAGCGAATGGAAGTGAAGCTTAAACATTTTTACCTAAACAACATGCTGCCTTGCATTGTCAATGATAATGATGTTGAATATTGAATAGATGTTGATGATGCGTGCCACTAACAGGAAGTCACGTAGGACAAAAAGCCAAATAAATACCTCTCCAATATCTTCCCCTAGTTTGGTAAACAGGGGCATTTGCAAAGCACGATTCCTATTTTTAATGCCTGCTGTTGCAACAGATGTAATAAAGAAATTGAACCCTACAATTTTTTTGTACTTGAAAAATTCTATTTCAAAGTCAATACCAAAAAATTAACATGAAATTATATCAGCATCTTGGTGGAACAAATTGGTTAAGATCTGTCACTCTGTGTAGCTTCCACACAGATGCTGACATACATACGATTACGTACAACTCCAGTACAGCTGAGCTAGACGCCAACTGCTTTATCAGTTGAAAATTGCCATCTGTTAATCAGTTGAAAATTGCAGGTGTTGCACACCTGCAACATCTCTATCATTGGCAATACTTGTTAGCGTTAACGCTTAAAAATTGGGGATTCAATTTCTCTACAATGCATGCAGAATTATTTTCTTTTACTAATACTTCAATACATACTATATAGTGTTATGCATAGGCATTCCAGAAGGCCAAATAACTCGGCTGCATGTAACGTCTCCGACCAGAAGCAGGAGCGCAAATTTTGTTGCATGATTCAGCACGTATGTTACTTAAGCAAAAAAATATTATAGTTTCTGTTTCAAAATTTCAACTTTTATAAATATGTGAGGGACGATGCCACTTTATATGCCAATAATGGTGCATATGGTTTATCTTTATTCCGGTTAGATGATGATTTGTTGGACTTGATGTGCGAGGACTTGCGTCAAAAAATAATAATTTAAGCGCATTATTTAGTAATATGAGACGGTAATTTATTTTCCTTTGTGCTAATCTCCACAATTTGCTAACGGCCAATATAAGCCAAGTTTTATCTTATTATATATTATATATAATTATTCGACATTTGTTTAAAAGCCGGACATATTTAGGTAGGTTACTCGCCTGTGGTTAGAATACCGGACATTCCTGCGTCCATTGATTCCTCGTCTAATAATATTGTTTAATTAACTGACGTGAAAATTAAAAACAACAAAACTGGACATGATCTTCAACGAAAATTTCGTTAGGTAAGGGCTACAAAAAAATGTTCTTTATCAACACTATACTAATGATTCGTAGCCAAGGTAAAACATTTTATTTAAATTTAATTGCAAATTTGAATTTAAGAAAAATTAAAAAATATATATTATAAGTTAATCATAGTTCGGTTTAATATGAGTAAGATTACCAACCTTACTATGGTTAGTTGGCCAATTATGATTTTAAATTTACTATTATATATACAAAAACCAATGCTTCTTGGACCTATCCATAGCATCTCAATATATATATCACTGTGTTTATGAAACAGTTTTTTAACTCCTAACAATAACCTTGCCCTACGAGATTGGCGTAAACGAGCAAGCATGTTAGTTGTTTACTTATATACATGTCGCGGAATTGGGGACAAACTTATTGAGCGAAATATTGCGCGATGTCAAATACTGCCGCACAATACGCGCCGTCGCGTTTACAACCCAACTTTGACCGACAGTCGAATAGATGTAATATTGGTCAGTAGCTTATATATAGATATATTTTGATGATTATTTTAAGATTATCTGCAGTAATAATACGCTTCATATTTTCATCGTCACAGTTTCTGCAAACTGAATCCCCACGCACCTGTTTGGTTCTTGGTGGCGTCTCAGTCCTTTGAACCCTCGACGTTGGCAGCCTTGAAGGCACTTCAGGCCGCCTACCAGAACTTGTGCGTGGCTCACTTAAACTTCAGCAGGCATTTCGAGGACACTCCGTTACTAGAACTTTACCTCTCCAAAAAGTTCAATGAAACAGGCGAGTAGCTCCTGAATTATCGAAATGGTGTCACAAAAAGATAAGTCTGGGTCTACCCTTAATTTAAACGTCAACATTTTGTTGGTTTGTTTGGTCTGTAGCATTTGCTAAAACTTGACTGTAATTAAAGTGAAATTAAACAACAACGAGGTTTTCAAGGGCAAAAATTCCAAATTATGAAGCAGAATAAAGTCAAATTAGCATTCAAATTCGTCGATACCGTGGATACGCAATGCAGGAAAAACATTTAATGATTTGCAGCTCACAAAATCCACAACCTGAGCGACTTGAGCCGCCTGGGGCCTGGCGATGGTGTACAAGTTCGGGGGCTTGTACTCGGACATGGACATCATCGCACTGCGCCCCCCGGTGGGAGTCACCAACTTCATCTCCCTCGAGGTGCCCGGAACGCAAGACATTATACATGAAATACAGATGCATATAGCATGTAACTTCATTACCCTGCAGGTGTCAACAATCAACCAATTGTGAATGTATATAAACCGCAGAATTTCATGTAACTTCTTAGCATATATAACAGAGCTGCATTCAGCATGTGACTGCTTGGCTGTGCGGGTGCCCACAAACAAACATGATACTGCCAATTGTGGCGAGTTTAGTGATCTTCGTAAAAATAATATTTACTTCATAGAATTATGTATGAACAAATAAAATAAAAAAGCGTGCCACCATATTTTCAGAGTGACGTCTCATTGGCCAACGGCATATACCGCATGCGGCTCCAGCACCCCATGCTCCTCAGCGTCATGCGGCACATTGCAGCCAACTATAATGTGAGGGCATGTTGGGCCGTGTTGCCTAGCGTCATGTGGCACATAGCAGCCAACTATAATGTGAGGGCATGTTGGGCCATGTTGCTTAGTGCCATGCGGCACATAGCAGCCAACTATATTGTGAGGGCATGTTGGGCCATGTTGCCTAGCGTGCGCGTCATGCGGCACATAGCAGCCAACTATAATGTGAGGGCAGGTGGGGTCGTACTTGGCATGTTTTAACCAGTATGTGCGTAGGAGGAGTCTGTGGCTGGCTTAAGAATCGCCTGAAATCTTAGCCCAGTGAAAGTGCAGACTGTATTAATAGGTATACGGGAACTATAATAATATATTATTAACAATGTTATAGGAAATAATATAAGATGTAAAAAAATCGAGCTTGTGACTTGATACATGTGAAAAGGCTCATTTTTCACTTGTGATTGCAGAACCAACTTTATGCCGCCAACGGGCCGGGTGCCATGACAGCCGTAGCGCAACAACTTGGATGTGACCGAACTCCCGTCGGCTTAGATGATCTGCTGAACGCCACGAACAACCGAACATCTCAACCGATTCAACCTGGTAATGCAACCCAACTACAACAACAACTGTAGTTCTAATGAATGTCATTTTGCTCGCCTGTCTGCCGCGTATAACCAATAATAAACCATCCTCTGCCGCGCCGTGCATCGAGTCGTCATGTTTTACCTGCTCAGAATTCGATGCACTTTATTCCTCTTATTTGCTGTAGGTGACCAACATCAACAAGCTGATTAATCTGCTACACTTAAGTTACTATTGCATCCTAAATTTATCCATTATATTAAACCTTAATGAGAATGAGGGCAACCCTGGCCCTCATTCAGGTGGCCAACCCAATGCGTCCCAGGATGGCGCCGAGACTGCATCCGTAGGAAGTTGGTTCCATTCTGATATGGTTTTAGTGAAAAATGTCATCTGACGGTATTAGTCCGGCTGAAGGCTGGTTAAGCGGTGGCTAAATTGTTGCAGATCTTGTAAAATATGGCAAGCCTAGCAAGCCTTCGTCTGTCTGGCAACGTTGGCCATCTCATGTCGTTGAGCATGTTATCCACACGGGAAGTCCAGCGGAAAGGATGAGAGACACATCGCGCTGCTCCACGATTTACTCTTTCGAGGGTGGTAATATCTTCTGCTGTATGAGGATTCTATACACAACTGGCGTGCACCAGCATGGGGTGGACTAATGCTTTATAGGCGGCTGCATTGCTGGATTTCGTCTAATGAAGCCCAAGGTACGGTTAGCCTTGTCATCCATGTTGGATAAGTGGGGGCTTTCACTCCAGCTCCTTGGAAAGTGTTTCCCCGAGGTACTTAAGCTGGGTTGCTTCCATCAGCAGGTGCCCACACTTCTGGTCCTTTGGCGAGTCAAATGGACAGTGGAGTATTTTTCATGGTGGAAAGATATCTTCCGTCGCTGTTAACACGCTAGAAGACGTTCACGTCCACCAGTATGGAATCTTGAACATCGGCTATTCCGATTGCCTTGAGGCATGCAGTGTCTTCGGCAAAAAGCTTGGCCCTGGAGGAGAGTCCGTCCGGAAGGTCGCTCATATACAATAGAAAAAGCGAAGACCCAATATAGAACCCTGAGGAACCCCCGGTTCCAATGTAAAGAACTTTGGCTTCAATTTGTTTTCCAAACAGACTGCATTCTGTCACATAGTAAATTGCTGATCCAGGCGGCAATTTCCGATCCAGGCAAACTCTACCAGAGTGGTAGAGTTCGTGGGTCAAGCGGCGTTTCCTCACTTTCCCTTCTCGAGAATCCCTGCTCGAGATTCTTCGATACCTCGTCCACTAGGGCAAGCAACGGATTCTCACATGAGGGACCTCTTCGGAAGCCATGCTGTTCTTTACAGAGAATTTTGTGCTCCTCATATTGTGCCATTCTTTCACTGATGAGTAGATGCTCCAAGAGCTTACAGGGGATACTCGTCAGCGAAACAGGTCTATAGTTCTCAGCATAGTGACGTTATTGTTTCTTGAAAACAGGGCACACGTGCGCAATCTTACAGATCGCAGTCATAACTCCAGCGTCAAGGGACGTCTGGTACAGCAGGGTGAGCGATGGGGCTTCTTCTGTCCTCAACCTCTTCAATACACTTGGTCGTGGGCTGATCCCGTCCAGGCCACAGGCCTATGAGAGGTCAATATTACGCAGCAGCTCCTCACCACCAGCCCTCGACATGTGTAACTAATCCAAGAGCCGTCTGTGGGCGTCCTGCTTAGTATCCTTAGTATTTGTTTGAGACAGCAGTCCTAGGCCACATTGGATCGCCGCCTCTGATTATCGTTCATCCGCCCTCATTTGGGCCACCTGCTGCACGATGCTGTTGCTTGCTTCTCGCCACTGGTAGTGTTGCAGGGGAGGTCGATCTGGGATTGCGCTCTGGAACACGTCTAGTTGTCTCTTGAAGGTCTCCAGGGTGAACTCCCCCTCTCTTAGATCCCTTGGTAGGGCGTTGAACAGCCTTGGCCCTGCCACGGAAAGCGATCCTTCCCGCAGGGATTGAAATCTGACTGCGGATCTGTTACGCAGGGGAGGGATCTTGCACAGTCTCCCCCTTCTCTCGTTGTGATATGTCTGAATCCTGAATGTCTCGCTCTCGAAGTTTGGCACCATTCCGGTTATCATTTTCCATGTGTACAGAATGACATACCTCTCCCGTCTCCTCTGCAGTGAGTACAGACTCTTCATCCCTCTGATCCTGGAAGTAAAGGTTCGTTGGACTCCTTCCAGTTGCCGTATTGCGCCTAGTGTGAACGGAGTCCAGAGCTGGCAGCAGTATTCAAGGATAGGTATTACAAGGGCTCTGGAGTGTGATCATCGGTTCCGCTTCTCTCGTTCTGAACGTCCGCCAGATCCACCCCATCTGTCGTCTACCTTTTGCGGTTATTGCCGGTATGTGATCACCCAAATTGACCTGATTGTTCATCAACACTCCTAGATCGCGAACGAGTCGCTTCTCTTCGATTTTTTGATTTCTGCGCCGTTCTGCACAGTCCAAGTGTGGCCATCGTATGTGTGGTAGGTTAAAATCTCCCGCAACCACAATATTTGGGGAAGGTTCACCTAAGTTGGCAACCTCTGTTTCTATTCTATCGAGAGTTTCACTGAATTTTTCAGGCGGGCAGTCAGGTGGTCGGTATACGATAGCTATGCACAGATGGAGATGGGGAATGTATAGTATAACGTGTTCCACATATCCATTGGAGCCTAAATGCAGGGGAACTGTTTTTGCCGCGAAGAAGTTTTTGAGGTAGACTATAACGCCTCCTTTTCTTCTCCCTTCTTTTCGATCTGCTCGGTAATGTTGAAAGCCTTTCATCTCGATTTCTCAATCTTGGATATCTTCTCTTAGGTGTGACTCGGTTAAGGCAAGCATGATTATTCCTTCTGTCTCAGCAATTTCTTTAAGTACGCCGATCTTGTGGCGTTTTCTTCTTGGGAAGAGCCCCTCTATATTAGCTATCATGATAATAGACTCTTCCCTTCCTTGCGTCCTTAGTTGCTGTAACACTGCACTGCCAGGGGTCTGGCTCTGCAGCTGTTGCTGTGATTTCTGCTGTTGTTCGTGCAATGTCAACAGCTGCTGCATTTGTTGTTGAATCTGATCTACTTGCCTCTGTAGGCCTAAAAAATGGCTGCGCTTGATATCGAGTCCTGTTTGTTCTTTTTCACTCCGGTAGGTTGTGTTGGCCGGTGCGGAAATTTTTAGAACTGCTCTGTACCTTTGATTTCGATAGATTCGTCCATCCCAGAACTGATTTTTTTAACCATGTAATTTCTTTCTCATGTTTTGGGTTTGGCAGTATAATCTATCCTGTGTTCCGAGGAGGAACTATCAGGGTCACGTCTCTCTTCGGCATTACCACTCAAGTGCAGGTTGAGTTTAAGGTGGTGAAACCGACAGGAATCTCGTTTGCAAACTACATTTTTGATAGTATTCCAGCACAACACGGATGGTAATATTGACAGTCTCTCCCTTTTTTGCATCCGCGTTGGTTTTTGCTTCCAAATATTGCATTTGTAACCTGCGGTGACATCAGGCATCTCGTCTAGAACTATTCTTCTGAGAAATACTAGTGAATGCGAACTGAAACTGACGGTTGTCAGCTCAGTATTTTTTGTTCATGACAAGTTTTCATGCTTCTTTGAGAGGCGAGACACGAGGATTTTCATTATGTTTAGATTTAGGCCGGGTTCACACCATACTGCCGTGCAAGTTGCCGGGAAAATGCCAGTCACTGTCCAGTCCTATGTTCTTTAACCCTCTGCCGCCTGACATGAGTAACCGGAGCAATATGTCACAAGCATACTTCCCAGGAAGGATACGGTGCTAGAGAGCCCAAAATGACTGGCACTAATGGTTACCGCCACGTACGAAAACTTTAAAATATTCTCTGTTGCGTACAAATCTTCTCAGCTTGCTACAGTAAATAGTTTACATAGAATTTTATTTAAAAGTTATGTTCCCGGAGAGTGACATACGGCGGTAGAGGGTTAATGCATTTCAATAAAAGCCTTCACACCGTGAGCAAAGCTTGTGCCTTGCACGGCTGGTGTGAATGCTTCTATGGAACTGCTGGACTCAACCTCTGCTGCACTTATCTCTTTAGTGACATGAATGCTTCGTGGATATCCTGTCTTCCGGTTTTCTTCGTCTTTTTGAGCAATCTGTCTCTCCAACGGAGGATTTTCAGTGTCCGGTTATTTCACTACTCGTGACTATTGCTGTTCCTAACTTATTTGTGTGGAATGAATTGTTTTAAAAGTTCTTAAAACAGTTATCGTGATTATTCATGAGTTTTTTGAGACATTTATAAACTTCCAGATATTTTACTCATATCATATACATCATATATATTTTACTCATCATATATTTTACTAAAATTTCATACATTCATCTTGTGATCCATTTTCATTAATTCAACTTACATTTCTTTAAAAATATCCTTACTGTAATCGCAATTTTTCACGTGGAAGATTCACGTACGTAGTCTTTCCTGACCTTCAGTCGTCCGACCGAAGTTTACCAGGAGATTAATTTGTCATTCATAGTTCAAACTTCCTTTAGTGGCAAAGTACTTCGGTGAGTTTAGTGCTGCAATTTATTAGTCTTTCATTATTGATTTTGATATGATATTTTTTTGAATTACTTGTATTTAATTTCGCTTATATTTGTTTTTCTTATAGATAACTAATATTTCTTACGTCATACATGCAGAAACTATGCTTTCAAGATTTTTCAATAAAATTCTTTGAAACTTGAGTATCGAAAATTTGCCTACGCCTAGGGCTTACACATACATCAACCATATTTATTTTGTATACTTTCGTACATATGACATAATATTGTGAACATTTTCTTACACTTAAATGCATATTTTTCTTATTTGCGTTGATCGGAAATTTTCAAATTTGTCAACAATCTTCCATTGTTTCCGGTCCACATTTAGTCCGGTTCACATTTATTTTTAATAGACGTTCATATGTTTCAGGTAATTCTCCAAGAATTTTTATCAAATTTTGGAAATTTTAAAGAATTTTCTAGTGATTTTCCGGTAATTTTTTGTAAAATTTAGTATTATATATACATCTGTTTAAAAAATGCCAAATTCGCACTTTTCCTATGACTTCAAGCAGACCCTAATGCATTTCATGTTTCACTCATATTTATTTAATTCTAGCAAAATTTCATAGATCATTCATTTTTTATTACCGATCATAGCACTGGAAAGCTGATGATTAAAAAAAATATCAGTAATAATATATAGTTAATAGACAAATCTATCGTATGGGGGATATTACTGTATGAGTCGGACATTCCTATAACGGGCAATCGTTTTTTCCTGTATCAACCAGTGATCAAAGTATTTTATTCTGATAAGGCCATCAACTACAATCTTGAAAATTAGCTGTTTCATTCTTTTCTGTTGTTGTATAATTGTATAAAATTATCATTTAATACAAAATATAATGTTTTTAGGCGACACATGGACTAAATATACTGATAACCTGATATACCATAAATGAGGTGGAAATTCTTTGGTGGGTCAGGGGTGGCCGGCAATGGTCAGCTTCTTGGCCGCTGATAATCCGCCTCTAACCTTATTGGTTATCGTCATGCAATAATTGTTTTGTCAATAGTTAAGTTACACGGCTTTTAATTACGCTGTGCCCGCGAGTTTTGACAATAGCTGGTCAACGAACATTTCAGATTCAATTGAAACAGGCTACACGGGTGATTTATATATGGCGCATGAAATGACGAGGATGAATTCGTTAAAGGCTGAAGTATGTGCGGGAAGATATCAGAGGTTATAATGAAGGAGTGACAGAACCTTCGACATCAGTAATATGTTGGCAAAAGTGTTAGAGGAGCTTATTATTAATAGAACAGAGTAAACCTAGTTTGAGAGTAGTGTTATGCATTTGTGTAAAATAGAAGTGTTGTAATATCTATATTTCAAATGTCCCGTATTGGTCGTTCTATTTCAAGAGTCCAGATTTTGAATATTTCTCTATTGAAGTCGATAATTATAATGTTAGGTCTTTTCTTGTTGTAACTAACATGTGGATCATCTAGGATATTAAGAAAATTAGCATGTATTAGAGTAAAATAAAATTGTAAATAACATCTATTATAGAGAAGATGTTTCTTCACGTTAAATCGTAGATTCACGTTTCAAGTTTCAGTCATGATCACCCTTTAAAATATATATAAAAGATTGTTAAGTGCGATAGTGTGCACTTGGTGGGGGCCGATGTTATGGATCGCTATGCAAAAACTGTTTTATCAATAGTTAGGTTGCGTGTATTTTCATTACGGTCCAGTGTTAACTATTATACGTCACTTCGGATAGACACGCAAAGTACCTTGTCAATGCCGCTTGATCTGCCACAAACGTTAGTACTAAAATTTATTATTGTGCGTTAATCTTTTGTGTTGAAATTATGGCAGTTTTTATAGATGATTGTGAATATTAATTTAATTGGTGTTTTATTTATTTGTTGTATGCGTTACCGGTCAAGTCGTATCTTGGTTTGTTAGTCAGATTAATACAAGTTATGCATTTTCTTAGAAATAATCCGAATCTTGAGTTGAAAGTATGAATAAGTAAGAAAAATTAAGAAATAAGAATAAGCTAAAAGGACCACGCGGTTGAATTATTAGCATTTGAAGTTTGATTATTATACGTTTTTATTCATCATTTAATTTGTCCTTTTCTTTAGATCATTTGCTAAAGACTGGGGTAACTGAAAGTTTTGTTGATATATTCATGGAATAGTCCCAATAAACATGAGCAGACTACACTGAGGAACGCGACTGTGTGACTCCGAGGTCTACATTATTTGTCCTCTGACTAGAGCAGACTAAAATGAAGAATGCCACTGGCTTACTGTAAATGTTTCAGTATTTGTCCTGTCTTGAGCAGACCACGCAGAAGAATGTGACTGGATTGCTCTTAAACTTCCAGTCTTCTTGCCTGTGCTTTGGAGTCGGACAAAGTATCTCTTTCAGAGCCCGAAAAAGAATGAAACTTTCCCGCCCGTGGAAACGGTGAGTATTGGGAGGTGATTGTTTGTGAGCTATATAATCTTGTAAGCTCAATTCTTATAAGCTTTATTCGTGTGGCATTTATTCCTATGAACTATGTTCTTTTGAGCTATATTCATTCGGCGTTGAAGAAATAGGCTTGTTTAGGCCTGTTGCCGATTCATGTACTTTTCCGCGAATTGTCCACAGATCTGAGAAAAGTTGCCTTTTGGCCTGATCTTCTCAACTGACGTTGGTTTTACATCATCACTGAGTTTCTACTAGTTCCGTAGGGTGCTAGGTATTTTAAGACTGAACATATGCTTTTGCATAGCATTGTCTAATTTATTATTGAGCGCGTTCATGCTGGGAGAGTCAACGATGTCATCAGAGAAGCTGTTCCACATGTCGGTGTCTCGAAGCGACACCGATACATATACTTGTGAGCTATACTCATTCGGCGTTGAAGAAATAGGCTTATTTTTGACCTGATCTTTTCAACTGACGTTGGTTTTACATCATTACTGTGCTTCTACTAGTTCGGTAGGGTGCTAGGTATTTTAAGTGTTCCGTATATTAGTGATGCAGGATCCTGCGGCAGGAGGGGGCGCAGGATCCTGCATCACTAACGCCCCTCCTGCTTCAAGTCAAAAAATATATAAATATTAAAAAATATTTATATATTGTCGCGTGAATGAATTGCACCGCAGATTTTTTATTTTATAACTGTAGCCCCTGGTGTTGGTTCTTGTTTCAAATTCTAATAATCCTTCTTTGACCTGTATAAACCAGTAGTATACTTGTGCACTTCAGTAACGTCGCCACGCAGACGTCGATAACAGGATTGGAAGCTTCATAATCTTTAATCTTTCTACATAAGAATTTCCCTACGAGGCTGGAAGTATCTGTGTAGCACAGTGGTTCCCAAAGTTGGCGATATCGCCCCCTGTGGGCGGTGGAAAGATCTGGGGGGGAGGGGGCGGTGATGAAGAAAGGGGCAGTAGGGGGGCGGCAGTCCGCGAAGTCGAAGTCAGAAGCTTGTACGTTTGTTTGACGATTTGTACACAACACGTGTAGAACATGACTCCGACTCGAATCAATTTTCACGAGCTAAAAATCACCGTTTGGTAGTTAGGAATTTATATTCAAAATTTCGTTCGAATCTGTTCAGTAGTTTGAAAGAAATTCTTTGATCACTGCGAAGTTCGGCCCGTATCGCCATATATTACTTCCGAATGAAAGTGAAATTTATAATTTTTTCACGAGCTAAACATCACCTTTAGGTCCTAATGAATACGTGTTCCAAGTTTTAACGAGCGGAGTTAATTAGTTTGGGAGATGTTCCTTGGTCACTGAATTTGAAGATTGGTCGTGAGACCGGCTGTGTGACTAGCCACGACTTCGGCCGTAAATTTGTCCGAGCCGTCTTGAATTTTAGTGCTGAAACAGTTTTAAAAAATATATTGTTTACTAAATAGGGCTCTATTTGTGAAATACACATATGTATTTAACCTTTCTCTTTCAAAATTGTAGCCTACTAGATATCAAGAAAGAGACGTTTGTTTTTATACGTGTCTGTCGGGGGGGGGGCGCTAGAGATTCACTGGGGAGCCAAACGGGGTGCCAGGCTGAAAAAGTTTTGGAACCACCGGTGTAGCACGACATTGATCACTCTCGACTAAATTTTTATCAAGTATAGGTGACCACACGGCGTTTCCAAACTCTCGGTTTGGGCGCACGACAGCGACCAATAAAAGTTTCATCGCATTTGCATCTTGGAACTCGTATGAGCGTCTTATCTTTCTATAAGCACTTTTTGGATTTATGAAATTGCGTTTCAATATGCCTAGAAAAATTCAGCTCCTTGTTGACATAAACTTCCAGATATTTTTCACGGTAGACTATTTAATCATTACTCTCTCGTTGCAATAATGTCTCTTCTTACTGTAATCTCTCCGTTTATTGTTCTTCCCGAGGTGAAGTACTATACTCTTGTTAAAAATAAAACGCAGCTACCACGTATCAGCCCAGTTAACTAAACTATCAAGATCACCTTACAACTGCACTTTGTTGGATGCAACCTTAACTTTATTATAAACATTCATGTCGTCAGCATACATATAAGAGCACCCGTTAGACACTACTTCTGGCAGATCGTTTATAGAAGCAATGGATAAAACAGGCCCAAGAACGCTTCTTTAAGGCACGCCACAGCGCACTTAAATCTTGTCTGACACTGTTCCGTTAATACTGATAATTTGTAGTCTATCTGCTAGAAAATCCCCTGATCCATAGAAGCATATTTACTACTATTCCCGAAGACTTCACTTTACGCAACAGCATCTTATGCAGAACACAATCAAATGCCATGGCGGCAAAATCAATTGGTACACTGCATACACTGGCTCACTTTCATCAAGCTGGAGAGTCCACTCATTCAAAGTAGGCAAGAGGTTAGTGGTGCATGATCTGTAGGAACCATGCTAAAAAACTGATAAGAGATGGTTAACAGTCAAGTGATCGAAAATCCTATCCCTCACAACAGATTCCATTACAAACAATACTTGTGAGACAGACAGGACGATAGTTACAGGGGGCTACTCATGTCACCTTTTTTGAACAAAGTTATCGCTTGGGCTTCTTTCTAATCTGCCGCAGAGGTCTTTCGTTCAAGGTTTTTTTTTTTTTGAAGAATACTGTTAGAGGGCCGGCCAGGACGGTTGCTACTTCTTTGAGTAGTCTTGCATGGAAGCCGCCACGTCCATATGACTTATTGGAATTCGGAGCGGCAAGGCGCTTAAAATCCTCTGCTTCATGTATTTCAAAACCTGTTAACTTCGAGCTCTTGTCTCTGGGCGCTCCTCAATAGCTGGAATGTTGTTCAATTCCTCATCTGTGAACACACTGCTGAATAACTCATTGAGAACGTTAGCCTTGATCTCATCAGAGGATATCTTTCGTTGATCTACTGTCGAATGAGGAATACCGTCGTTTGTCTTACCCTTCGAGCTAGCGCACAAGAAGAAGGCTTTCGGGTTATTTTTTGCATTATTGGCAATTTCATTTTCAAAGTTTTTCTCTTATTTAATTAGGTTAAGTTAAGTTCTTTTAATTTATTTTACAAAGTTTTCCTGTCATTTCATTTTTTTTAGCTTGAATTCGAGCTCATGCGCACACCTTATAATCATCACTGCAACGAAACCGTAAATAGCGCTTTTAGGATTCCTTACTAGTACTTAACTTTGCTATAACTGTACTGTTCATCTACTGGTTTTAATTACTCCGCCGAGCTTATCGTAGTTACACACGTGGTCGCCCCACGTGTTGGATGCGTCACAGGTGACCGGTGACCGGACAAGTGGTCACCACACGTGTTGGAGGCGTGACAAGTGAACGTATCTATGACTGGTCGCCACCACCCGAATAAATCTTTTGCTATTAAAAGATAATGAACTCATGAACAGATAATGTCATGCTCAGGAACCGATTGTCAGGGTTGGATAGTTTATATCCGCATTGATCATTAATGTGAAAATCTTTTATTTGCAACTCGAATTATGAATTGTTCAATGTTTTTTCTTGCAGCTGTACCCGGAGAGCCTGGGTGTCCATTACAATAACTTCCAAACTCGAGCCCTGGAAGTCCAGCCTGGCAGCCTCATGCAAGTGCTCGCCTCAGGATATTGTCCAGTCATCTTTGGGAAGCATCCGCTGCTCCGATGAATAGTTAGGTCTACTGGTTCATTATTGCACTAGGAAAGCCTTCCCACCAATTTTAATTTCCGTAATTGGTAATGTTTCTTTTGTAATTCATGAATAAAAACCTTACCATTGAGTCATGAACATGAAGAAACGAAGGCCAGGACTGGCGAAAGTTAAAAATATTTTTGCTTCAAGGAGGAATTGTTTCAGTATTTCAGGCATTCGTGATGAAATCGAATGGCGGATGAAAATATCTTAGATGAGAATTAAATTCTAGCAAGTAGGGTTCCTTAAAGTTCTATTACGGTACGTGTGCGGTTGTTCTCAGCTTCTTTATTCCAGTATTTGTTTGTGGAATACCATTCTCATTGGGTCTACGTGGTTTATCGTTTAAGCTTTTATTATTCTTCACCCATCACCTAAGGTGAAAGCCTGTCTATGGTAATTTGTTTTTATTTGTGATGATCCTAATTTGAATTGACCGCTTCTGTAATTCGTGTTTTATTTTTCAACCTTCCTTCTACCCCCGTAGACTGCAGTGGTTGAAGGGAACTGCGCGAGACAGGAATCAGAACAAACAATATCTCCGTGAAGCGGTCGAGGCGTCATTCTGAGGAACTCTTTGATTGATGAATTCTTTGATTGATGAATTCTTTGATTGATGAATTCTTTGACTGATCAACTCTGTGATTGATGAACTCTGTGATTGATGAACTCTGTGATTGATGAACTCTGTGATTGATGAACTCAGTGATTGATGAACTCTGTGATTGATGAACTCTGTGATTGATCAACTCTGTGATTGATGAAATCTATGATTGATGAACTCTTTTTTTTATGAACTCTTTAGTTGACGAACTCTTTAATTGATCAACTCTGTGATTGATGAACTCTTCAATTGATCAACTCTGTGATTGATGAAATCTATGATTGATGAACTCTTTTTTTTATGAACTCTTTAGTTGGCGAACTCTTTAATTGATGGACTCTTTAATATGAGCTCTTTGAATTCCGACTTGATGCATTATTTAGATCAAATCAGAGCCTCTCGTCTAACTCTATTGCGTGACAAGATCACGGCCCTCGTTCAAACTCCCAACTGGCTTTTGTACCAATTAAATCCTCACAAGACCTAAAAAGCATATCATAACCAAGACAGAAATACTTATTGTGGAAAAATAACTTTGAGCCGCTGTTGAATGATTAATCATCTACCAAAAAAATTATTAACAATGCAATAATTAAATAAACGTAGTCTTGATGAATGTGAGCGACGGACGAGTCACATATGTTCAGTTTCTGCGAGTTCTTTCTTCCTTAAAAATATGGTAAAAAATAAAGTCCTAATAACCTCATGTATTCAGACATAATTCCTAAGAACCTTGGGTATTTATGTAAATCCCATGAAGGTGGCGAAGATCCTTTAGCATTGCATGACTTACTAAATGAATTAGGTTTAAAATTTGAGGTTTCATATTAAGCGCTTAACGCGTTAAGTTTATCGTGTAATTTCAGAAGAAAATTTCCTAGTTCATGAGTTGAATCTTCATCTGAAATCGATTTGAAGTCATCATCATTCCAAATCTCTTAATGTCACTTTCAACGAATTTCTAGGAACTTATGTCATGGGTATTAATGAGGAATAAATTTTTTGTTATGTGATTGCAGACCAAAACGTGGAAGAGAAACGTAAATAATGATGTTTGGAATTATATATTCATCTCCGTTATTCCCGGCTGGAAATCTTCGACTTCAAGAAGCACTTGTCAGATGTCCTGAAGAAAGAGGGTGGAGAAGGAGATGGAGATTGAAAATAATACACTTCAAATTTCTTTCATGGTTCAAATAACATTTTTTTTCTAGAATTAGCTGATGCAAATCAATTGAATAAAGGGAGATTTGTCTCCTACTAAAGAAGTAAAGATAACCTGCAGTTTGAAGCATAAATTCACTTTGAGAGTTGTTCGAGTACAGAGTTGTGATTTGTTTTTAATTAAATGTCTTTAGTGTATAGTATGGACTGTGGAGATGAGTGACAAACTGCTACTTTGACCATGAGAGACTCGAAAAAAATGTACTCTCGGTTCGTAACTACACACCAGATTATAAAGCCAAATATGATGCAAGTTTGAACTCTGAAGCGAATTTTTGAAGTAAATAAAGATTTTCGTTTCAGTTTGCGTGGCTTTTTTCGCACTAATTTTGCATACTTTCTATACTACACAGCTTTGTTTCAGCTTTCTTTCTCTTCGTATTCTAACATATTTTTATTGTAATTAAGATATATATTCTTTAATACCATAATATTTTAATTGAGGATCTTATCTTACATGATTGTTGAATTATTCACTTTTTAAATTGTGCAAATGCCTGTTTTTCGTGTGACAATTTTCAGCAGATTTTTCGAAATAGGAATAATAACTTGCTGCGCGCACATATCTCTTAATCAAGTTTCTTGATAGCATCTCTTATCATAGTAACTAAGATAAACAAAACTTTCGCGTGAAGAAATTCTGTTGAAATTCTCCAGTCTTTAAATTGTAGCCGCTTGTTTTATTAGCCGGATTACAATGACGGTACGGAATACGAAATCAGAAATGTTATCACGCACCCGACATGTTTATATCATATTATACCTTTGTACGCTACGGTAACTTTCACTACCATGACTTAAGTTTTGTATAACTGCGCAAATGGCGAATATATCCGTAGACTTCAGCTTAATACTTTGACCGCTTCGTGCGCCATATATGGTACACGGCTACTTGTCTCAACCTGCATCATGCGCCACATGTGGTACACGCGTTGAAACTTACAGCACCCCCCTGAAAATATTATTTCCACTTACTGAATCACTTTTCTATCAAACAAACTTCTAGTATTGAAGGAAAATGATTGAAAAATTATGATTCATTATACGAGGGGGACTTCAAAAAGTTCGAGGAAAATCAACAGTTTGAAAAACGATCAAAGCAATAAGGTTTATTTTCGTACATATCCTTTATCTAGGTCGATACACTTTTGTGAATGGCGAAACCTGCCATCAGGTCTATCTGTGTAAAATTGAGAGGCATACGATTTAAACCATGTTTTGGCAGCTCTTTTCGCTGCCTCAATTGATGTTAGCTGAGAATTTTTCAATTATTTTTTCAGACTTAAAAATAAAAAGAAGTAGGGGGACGCTAAGTCGGTCTTATAAGGTAGATGCCGAATGACTTTCCATCGAAATTCGAGTAGCAAGCTCCTGTCTGCCGAGCGCCATGTGTGAGTGTTTTCTAGCGATTTTCTTCGTAAATTTTATCAAAATCTCTTTATGATGAACCGTTGCAATATTTTTTGTGGTTCTCGAGGAAATCGAGAACTACAACAAGATTCCCTCTGTATTTCAGTCTTTCCAGAAGACGCTCGGATTTTTATTTGAAGAGCCCAATTTCTCTCCTGAACAGCCCAAAGCTTCGATTGAGTTTTGTCCTCGGAATTGTACCGGTAGGGCCATGTTTCATCGCCGGTCACAATCCGCGTAAGAAAAAGTTCAGGGTTCTCAACCCACTTGTTCAAAATTTCCATAGAAAGATCTGCCCTTGACTCCTGCTGATCTGGGCGCAACGCCTTAATTGGAACTCATCGAACGGAGAGCTTGCTCAGTCCCAAACTGCCCACCAGAATTGTATGTCCGAAACCCATGGAGATGTTGAGGGTGTCCGATACTGATTTTGTGGTCATTCACCTATATTTTTCAATGAAATCACGAACAGCGTCAATGTTTCCCCCAAAAAAATGATCTGCGTGGCCTGACTCTGCATGGGTCGATCGTTGGTTTCATTTCTTTCACTTCTGGAACGATTAATCCATATGCTTGTTCCAGAGAATCGATGACTTGCCTGTTCTTCCTATCAAGCTTTACCATACATTTGATGTTTGAGGCCTCGATTTCGGCCGCTGCTGTGTTGCATGAACGGTTGTTGCCTTTAATGCAGCGCACCGCGTTTGGGACATTAATTTAAGGGTTCATTTCAGAACACGTTATAAAACATTGATACAGGATTGTTCTGATGCATTGGCATCATATTCTTTTCATAAAATTTTTAAGTATGTTCATTATAAAAAATTTTTAAAGAACCCTCGTATAGCTTGATGTTATGGCCCAGTGGTTAAAGTTCAGTATACCAAGATTGGAGCAGAGAGGTGCGGGTTCGATCCCATCTCTGTGTGCCAGTTTCTGGTAAGGATCGGCAAAGAGGCCGGGCGGTTAAGCAAGGAAAATTTGAAGCAGTGAGTAGCGAGTTCAAGCCCGCAACATGCGATGGATGTTCTGCAATGTTAAGAATCGGCGACAGGCCTATGGCCTAATAAACGCTGAAACCGCTATATATTCCGCTACGCTGATCAGTAAGACCTGCATGGTTCATCAAGTGGAATATATGAACTGGAAAACAATGTAAAATTCAATGTAAAGGACAAAAATAGTCCTATTTTCACAATTATTTGCATTCAAATATGAGAACCTTAAATTTTCTCAGATTTTAGTTCTATTTTATTATGTAAGATTACTCGGAACGCCTCAAATTGAAGCTCGATAATTACAATCGCTGATGATTTATGGCTTCACAAGAGTCGCTTCAATCATTTACTCTTTAGATTGAGCTAGTCTTTGTTCATCCATATAAATTTTATCATGGCTAAACCTGCTTTTCTTCGCGTTCGCAATCTTTCTGGATCAGCTTCATTGAGCACATGAGCTCTGCAATTTCTTGAAACATCATATCTTTGAATCCAGCCATGCATGGCTGTGTTGATATTCTCTTACGAGTTTAGATGAACAATGTTTGAGACAATCAGTAGGTACTTTTTGTTAATTCCAGATTTTTTGTAATTTTTTGTACTAGCTGATACATATAGCTTGTTGACTATGGAGAAACGTGTGATGAGGTGAACATAACCCAAATTCACTATTTTGACCTCCATCTAATTTTGAATCCATCTAGTGCTCCTCCTCCACCATCATCCACCATCTCCCATCAGATTGTCAACATGGTTTTATTGCCGGTAGGTCCTGCACTACTAACTTTTTAGCTACGTTGAATGATTGGACTCGCCTGTTGGACGAAAGAGAGCCAGTGGATGCATTGTACATCGATTTTGCCAAAGCATTTGACAGTGTTCCGCATTAGCGGCTGTTGCGTAAAGTGAAGTCTTTGAAAATTGAGGGAAACGTACTCCAATGGATCAGATATTTTCTAGTAGGTAGACGACAACGTGTCAGTATTAACGGAACCGTGTCAGACTGGGCATCAGTGCGCAGTGGCGTGCCACATGGAATCGTTCTTGGACCTATTTTGTTCGTTGCATTTATAAACGATCTGCCAGAAGCAGTGTCCAGCGTGTGCTCCATGTATGCCGACGACACAAAAGTTTATAATACAGTGAAGGATGCGTCAAATAAAGCGCAATTGCAAGACGATCTTGACAGTTTAGTTAACTGGGCTGATACGTGGCAGCTGCGGTTTAATGCGCCCAGTGGTTAAAGTTCAGGGTACCAAGATTGGAGCAGAGAGGCGCGGGTTCGATCCCATGCAGCTCTGTGCGCCAGTTTCTGGTCAGAATCGGCG